CTCATTGTCACTGGCGATTTCAATCCAGAAATAGGTTGGAAAGATCAGGAGACAGCACAGACAGACCTGGTGAAAGACCAGCTTTTTCTTGGTTACATTTATAGAACTACAAGACGACTACCCTTAAAAATAAAATGTACCAAAAAATTTGATAAATAAACATAAAGAACTTTGAAGGAGACACGATTACACGAAAATTCTGAAAATGCAAAGCTTTTCCAAAGGACCAGAGAGACATTCCAGCAGAGTTATTTTATTTGTATTAAGGAAAGTATTAAGAAAGGTTATTTCATATGAACAGTAATGTTGAGTTAATATGAGACTGGTCACTTGAAGAGGGCGCCAAAAATATATATATATTTTTTTTAAATTGCAGCGTCTCATCTGGAGGGACCACCAAGAGTTTCGTTTTTTGAAGGGGCGCCCACAAAAACAGAAATGGAGAGAAATTTAGTTGCAGAGATACTGACGTGAAACTTCATTAGTCTGGGTAATCGAAATCGTGAGTTAAAATCTGCAAACTCGCCTTCATATATCAGCCAACTGACCTTCATGTTTCCAGCCAAATGACCTTCAAATTATCAGCCAAATGATCTTCATATTAACAGCCAACTGACCTTCACATTAACTGCCAAATTACCTTCATATTATCGGCCAACTGACCTTCATGTTGTCTGCAAACCAAAATTCATATTAACAGCCAACTGACCTTCATATTGTCAGACAAGGGAATGTAGCTGTAGCTCCTCTGACTTATCCTGACATTGCCATACCACGTGTTGGACACGTGTTTCTGGCAGCAGGGATGTGCTATGAAGTACTTGTTCCTGCCAATCAAAGCCAAGTCCACGGCTGTGTAGCGCTTGAAGTCGTCCAGTTTTTTGGTTAGTGAGGTCAATGCCTGGTCGGCAGACTCTTGATACGCAAGGTCAAGCATCTCTACAGCATGTTTGCCAAAGTCTCTGAAATGGAGGACAGTGTCCATTAGTCACGATGGCAAAATTTCTTGTACTACAAGCCAGCACCATGACGATGTCCTGGCCTCAAAGACAAAGAAATTTAAGGATAATTTAACGTATTGGCCATTTGACGACTGGCTTGAGGCTGATGAAGTGACAAGCAACTCAGATTGGGTCACTTCATTAAACTAAAGAAACATTACAAGATTAAGTCAAGCATGTAAAAAAAGGTAACATTATTTTATCAACATCCACACAGATGAGTTTTAAAGATAGACATGGTCAAGAAACACGCCATTTAAATCGGGGAAACACACCCCCGACAAGTGACCCACAACATTCATACATATATAGTACAGGTGAGTGAGAAACCAAGAAATACATACTTTTATATAAAGAATGCATACCTATTTTATAAGGGAGACACACCTTTTATATAAGGGAGACGCACCTTTTGTATAAGGGAGACATACTTTTTTATATAAGGAAGACGCACCTTTTGCATAAGGGAGACGCACCTTTTTCATAAGGGAGACACGCCTTTATATAAGGGAGACACAGCTTTTGTATAGGGTGACACACTTTTAATGTAAAGGAGATACCTAGAAATTCAAGGAGTTACAAACCTTCCGACATTCTCCATCTTTAATTTCAAATCTCGGTCAGAGATCCAGTGGCTCGACAGGCGGCTGTACATTGTAGACAGGACCAAAGCCACGGCCATCGGCTCGTTGGTCCGGCACCAGAAAATCTCGGTCAGTTTTGTGTTGTTGGTCAGTGCTGCCCAGTAGAGCATGGCGTGCAGGGCCTGGGGGAGAGTTAGTTATGAAGCAGGTAGCCTTGTAATTTTATTTTAATTAGCCTAGTAAATTCACCGTCTGGAAAATATTGAGTGGTTTAAACCAGAGCTGTATACCATGAAAACAGGTCTAGTTAGTTGTAGGCCGTGAAAACAGGTCTAGTTAGTTGTAGGCCGTGAAAACATGTCTAGTTAGTTGTAGGCCGTGAAAACAGGTCTAGTTAGTTGCATGCCATGAAAACAGGTCTAGTTAGTTGTATACCATGAAAACAGGTATAGTTAGTTGCATGCCATGAAAACAGGTCTAGTTAGTTGTATACCATGAAAACATGTCTAATTAGTTGCATGTCATGAAAACAGGTCTAGTTAGTTGTATACCATGAAAACAGGTCTAGTTAGTTGTATACCATGAAAACATGTCTAGTTAGTTGCATGCCATGAAAACAGGTCTAGTTAGTTGTATACCATGAAAACAGGTCTAGTTAGTTGTATACCATGAAAACAGGTCTAGTTAGTTGTAGGCCGTGAAAACAGGTCTGGTTAGTTGTAGGCCGTGAAAACAGGTCTAGTTAGTTGTAGGCCGTGAAAACAGGTCTAGTTAGTTGTAGGCCGTGAAAACAGGTCTAGTTAGTTGCATGCCATGAAAACAGGTCTAGTTAGTTGTATACCATGAAAACAGGTCTAGTTAGTTGCATGCCATGAAAACAGGTCTAGTTAGTTGTATACCATGAAAACATGTCTAATTAGTTGCATGTCATGAAAACAGGTCTAGTTAGTTGTATACCATGAAAACAGGTCTGGTTAGTTGTATACCATGAAAACATGTCTAGTTAGTTGCATGCCATGAAAACAGGTCTAGTTAGTTGTATACCATGAAAACAGGTCTAGTTAGTTGTATACCATGAAAACAGGTCTAGTTAGTTGTAGGCCGTGAAAACAGGTCTGGTTAGTTGTAGGCCGTGAAAACAGGTCTAGTTAGTTGTAGGCCGTGAAAACAGGTCTAGTTAGTTGTAGGCCGTGAAAACAGGTCTAGTTAGTTGCATGCCATGAAAACAGGTCTAGTTAGTTGTATACCATGAAAACAGGTTTAGTTAGTTGTATGCCATAAAAACAGGTGTTAGTTGTATGCCATAAAAACAGGTGTTAGTTGTGTGCTATGAAAACAGGTGTTAGTTGTATGCCATAAAAACAGGTGTTAGTTGTATGACATAAAAACAGGTGTTAGTTGTATGCTATGAAAACAGGTCTAGTTAGTTGTAGGCCGTGAAAAAAGGTCTAGTTAGTTGTAGGCCGTGAAAACAGGTCTAGTTAGTTGTAGGCCGTGAAAACAGGTCTAGTTAGTTGCATGCCATGAAAACAGGTCTAGTTAGTTGTATACCATGAAAACAGGTCTAGTTAGTTGCATGCCATGAAAACAGGTCTAGTTAGTTGTATACCATGAAAACAGGTTTAGTTAGTTGTATGCCATAAAAACAGGTTTAGTTAGTTGCATGCCATAAAAACAGGTGTTAGTTGTATGCCATAAAAACAGGTGTTAGTTGTATGCTATGAAAACAGGTGTTAGTTGTATGCCATAAAAACAGGTGTTAGTTGTATGCCATAAAAACAGGTGTTAGTTGTATGCTATGAAAACAGGTCTAGTTAGTTGTATGCCATAAAAACAGGCCTAGTTAGTTTATCGCATGATACTTGATCAATGCAGGAATTCACCAACCCTTCAAATGTAACGCATCAACTATTGTCATCATCAAATAAAGGCCACATCAGTTGATGACCCCCACGAACAAGTCCCGCACTCACCCGCTGCTCTGCTATGACAGCACTCTCGACCCTGTCGTTGCTGGCATTGATGGACAGCTGGAGTGGATTGATCAGTTTCCTCAATCCTGTCAGTACGTGGAGAAGGTGATTGAGTGGACAGTCGATACTGCTGACAAAATTCTCAGTGATCGGCTGCTGGATAGTCTAAAACAATGAGAGAGTATTGGGCTTTGTTTGAATGTGTCACCATACTATGTGTAAACATTTGAAGAAGAAAAAAAACAACGGTTATATCTGTCTTTAGATAATTTATCAGCAAAAAAGTTCCGAAATAAATACTTTTAGGTATAAGGTAGTGTTATGTCACTTCACATTAATTGGTTTAGCCCTCGTGTCAAACAACCCGAATTGCACGCTTATAACAGCAGGGACTCGTGTCTCAGGACCAGAGGATGACCACGTCGTTTGTGGAGAGACTGTGATGCGGACACCCTAAAACTCCACAACATGAACCTGCAGCAGGCCTCACGCCTTGTGAGAACTCGTCAACTTGACCTACCCCCTCCCCCCCCCCATCTCCCCCCGTGACGCCTGCCCGGTGAGGTCGGGCAGAAGTAGAACAAGATGAGTTTCTGTCAGCTCATCCACAATGGAAAACGCTCCTTTTACATCCAGGTGTCGGAACACTCTATGCCTGGTTGGTTGATAACAGCTTCATATTGATCAGTGAACGGGAAGAAAGCACGAGAGCAAAGATACGCAGATATAGAAGAAATTATTATGGGGGGGGGGGGACGTGAGAGGGATGTCGTAGTGCGATCTGTGTTTGAGTGAACGCTTTACCTTATTTGAAACATATCTTTTAGAGAACGGGAAGAAAGCACGAGAGCAAAGATACGCAGATATAGAAGAAATTATTATGGGGGGGGGGGGGGACGTGAGAGGGATGTCGTAGTGCGATCTGTGTTTGAGTGAACGCTTTACCTTATTTGAAACATATCTTTCAACTTTCATTGTTTGCACCACATATTACTTTACATTTACCTACAGAAAGCAAAAATACTTATGAAGAGACAATATGAGAACCTTTTAAAATATTAATTTTTGGACCTACGACTTCAGGGTCTCTCAGGACCCTTTACACGCGTCGGACTTATGACTGTCTCTCCCAGGACTCTCTCCCTACGACTGGCTTATGACTGTCACTCTGAGGACTCTCTCTTCCTACGACTGACTTATGACCGTCTCTCCCAAGACTCTCTCCCTACGACTGACTTACGACTGTCTCTCCCAGGACTCTCTCCCTACGACTGGCTTATGACTGTCACTCTGAGGACTCTCTCTTCCTACGACTGACTTATGACCGTCTCTCCCAGGACTCTCTCCCTACGACTGACTTACGACCGTCTCTCACAGGACTCTCACCCCACGTCGGACTTACGACTTTCTCTCCCAGGACTCTCTCCATACGTCTGACTTACGACTTTCTCTCCCAGGACTCTCTCCACACAGATGGATACGAAAAAATCCTTGTCGACACAACGCTCAAACAACATTTCCAGGCGGCGGTGGTTCAGATATTTGTGAAGCAGGAACCCGCGGTCAAGGAATAGCTCGACGAACTTCTCCCGCCCAGGCCTCAACAAAACTTGCTCAAACTGGTCTTCGTCAATCTGCAGAGAGATGGATAATAAATCAAGATATAACACTAAGAGTCATATGGTACGAGACGTGCAATTTACCCACTATGAGTCATTTAGTAAAAGCTGCTATCACTTAATGCTTGACCAGGCTTGCCCTTCCATTGACACATTACACTTAATGGTTGACCAGACTTGCCCTTCCATTGACACATTACACTTAATGGTTGACCAGGCTTGCCCTTCCATTGACACATTAAACTTAATGGTTGACCAGACTTGCCCTTCCATTGACACATTACACTTAATGGTTGACCAGGCTTACCCTTCCATTGACACATTACAATTAATGGTTGACCAGACTTGCCCTTCCATTGACACATTACACTTAATGGTTGACCAGACTTCTGATTCCATTGACACATTACACTTAATCGTTGACCAGACTTGCCCTTCCATTGACACATTACACTTAATGGTTGACCAGACTTGCCCTTCCATTGACACATTACACTTAATGGTTGACCAGACTTTCCCTTCCATTGACACATTACACTTAATGGTTGACCAGGCTTGCCCTTCCATTGACACATTACACTTAATGGTTGACCAGACTTGCCCTCCCATTGACACATTACACTTCATAGTTGACCAGACTTGCCCTTCCATTGACACATTACACTTAATGGTTGACCAGACTTGCCCTTCCATTGACACATTACACTTAATGGTTGACCAGACTTGCCCTTCCATTGACACATTACACCTAATGGTTGACCAGACTTGCCCTTCCATTGACACATTACACTTAATGGTTGACCAGACTTGCCCTTCCATTGACACATTACACTTAATGATATACAGACACTCACCTCAAACTTGTCGATACTGTATTTTTCAAAAATTTCTGTTACGGCCAGTTCAGGTTGAATCCAGTCTATGATGAGTTGCATGTTGGACTGAAGTTCTTCCTGGTCCCTGATGATACCCGTGGTGCTGAAGGCTGGTGGCATTTTGGAGACAGTTGAACACAGTTGACTTACAGCCTAAAGGTGTCACCCTCTCGAAATCATGCCATATCTTATTCACCTTTTCCTTACCCATGTTAAATAATGACATCTCCCTTTCATCTTTCCGCTACCCATGTTATGCAATGAAAAATCACATTAACCTTTCCATCACCCATATAAAATGACATATCCTATTCATTACCCATGTTATACAATGAAACATCCTATTCATTACCCATTTTATTCAATGACATATCTTAATCATTACCCTTGTTATACAATGACATATCTTAATCATTACCCATTTTATACAATGACATATCTTAATCATTACCCATGTTATACAATGACATATCTTAATCATTACCCATGTTATACAATGACATATCCTATTCATACATTAACAACTCACATGTGAGTACCGCTGTTAAAATAACTTTACTGAGATCTTTTAGTTCGAAGTTTGTATTTTTTTCCACTAGTGTCAAAAGAGCGCTGTCTCCCTGTACAGAGTAGACAGCAAATAACCAGGTAAGGATAGACATCTCAAACATTACAAACTTTAAATAGAACTCACTTTAACTTAAGCAATTAAGCTCCACAATCTGTACTCCATTAGTTTGACTAGGAAAAACATGAGCACAAGACTAAAAATGACGCCCATGAACCCCATCCCCCTTTTTTTTTTTCCCAACCCCGATTTGTTTAAGGTTCCTTGATCCCCCACCTTAATGTGTCTTTGAGATTTATTTGTTAAATATAAATCAAGCCACTACGCGTGTCTCGATAGCTTTGAAGGCCGTACCTGTGTGGCGTAGGTCACGCATTGCAGTATCTTGTCACGGTACTGATTCCTGCTGAGGCTATTGTCGCGGAACTGATCTGGGAAAGTTTCACTGAGGCGATTCAACAGCTCTGTTTTCACGTACTGCTCGTAACTGTCTGTGCCGTACCTGGGAGTTAATTCACGGGTCGTTTAGCGAGAGCCAGCTACAAAGGAGAGCATTCGGCGAGAAAGATATGGAACGTTTTCTTTTCTGCAATTCATCATCTATTGTTTCGACAAATCTCATCTAAGCTAATTTCGAAATTTAAAATCAAATCTACTATTCAAATATCGACTGCCCGTCCACTATTCCAGCGTTCCCCAAACGGTGGTCCGTGGACCCGCACAGGTCCGCAAGCCTTACGTTACCGGTCAAGAGAGAGCCTGAATATTGCTGTTTAAATAGAAAGAAAATGTAATTAATAAATCTGGCACCGGTCCCTGATGCAGTTTCGAAACGTGTCCACCAGTCCGTGAAACTTAACAGTTTGGGAAACGCTGCAATATTCGACCACTCACGTCTCTTGCGCAGCCCTGTAAGCAAAGGCCAGCAACCCGGCTGCCTTGCCTTGACCACCGACCACTATCACCGGGACATTTTTCCTCAGCAAGGCAAGCACGTGGTCTATGTCCTCCGGTCCACCCTGAATAAGCAACCCGATCAGAGGCTTGGATGACGTCGACTCACCGCCGCTGTCAACGGTATCTGAAGTCAAATAAATAACGTCAGTGGGACAACAACAAAAATCTTCTGGTGTTCGGGGATTTTCAATCAGTTGTTAGGAATCCTAAGAAGAAAAAAAGTCTGTGAATGCTTCTTAAATGACTTTTTATCATTTTCCTGTTCCGTTATTACTAGAGCTCACTACGCGGGCTTTGATTGAATGAGCCTAACTGCAAGTTACAGTGGATTTATATTGAAGTAAGCAAATCATTTTTTTAAATTTCATTTTTTTTTCTTCACAGCTTTGACCTGTTTTGTTGATTTTTTTATTCACTGGTGGAAGTTTTTAACTTGGGCAACAACAAAAAAAAACAACCGATAACTCTCCCAACAAGCCCAACAAAGCCCAACAAAGCCCAACAAAGCCCAACAAAGCCCAACAAAGCCCAACAAAGCCCAACAAAGCCCAACAAAGCCCAACAAAGCCCAACGCACCTGTGGCAGAATAGTTCCGTTCAGGTCCAATGGGCCTTTTGAACCGCGTCTCAAGCTTTAAGACGAAGTTCGCGATGGCTGCTGGCGTCATCTCTTCCGACATGAGGAGAAAGTGGGTCATATAGGGGTTGAGTTCTTTGGAGGCTCCATTCTCACCATCGTCCACTTTCAGGACGACTGGGTCTCTGCATGCCTGTAAGACAAATAAAAACGTAGTGTGAAATCAAGGTCAGGGGGTGCATTTAAGCTCACATTTATCCAACATTTATTTCAGTCTACCCCGTTATTTTTCATTGAAAGTCTATAACGATTCGCTGCCGCCATTTCGTCGCAACCATTTCCCATCTCCTTTTTCTGGGACGGCTTTTGTCTGACACTAGTATTTAAAAAAGTGTAAATACATTTTTGATGCTTTTAAAAATTAAAAATTATATGCAAAATTGTGAGTGAAAACTGAATTTTTAGGTATTACTTAGTGAACAGCTCTCAACGCTTTTCTTCTCAATCCACAAATACATTACGTGCTGATCAGTCCTCCCTTGTGTCAAGCAACTCTATAAGTCACCCTAATTACTGGACACGTCCAGTCTGACTTGACAACATTGGGGCTGATACCATCTAGATCCCTTAAAATTCAAATATTCTAAAAACACACCCCCTGGGGTCCTTTGCTAAACGGCATTTTCCATCGTCCTAGAAAATTAAAATTGGATACCAAAGGAGCTGATATCACAACAATATCTAAAAGATTTGTTTTTCTTTAAAATTTAAACATTTCAGAGGGAGCTTGGGAGTCAGATTGCAAAAGTGGGGTCGGAATAATCATGCATGGATCAATGAGAAAATCCATTAGGAGAAAATTATCACGGCATATGACCCCACTCTGGCGTTCATTGTCATATATATAATATAAAGAAGGAGCTAAGCAACAATCCCTAAAATCACAGTTTTTTGTATAAATCCTTTATAAAATGTAATATCGAGCGGGGTGCGGGTTGGGGTGTTAAAATTAAAAATTTTACAGAACATTTATGAATAAAACGTACTTTTTAAGAATTCTTATTTGCCCCCTCCCCCACCCCCCACCCAGACTCGGAACCGGGCTTTTTTTCAGTCCCTCAAATTTATGAATATTCTACTTCTCAACCCGCTTTATTGCACCAACTATTGCAGAAACACAAGAATATTACGCAACATACGCACTTGCGATATTTATTATTTTTTTTACAAAGAATCTCATTGAGCGCAGTTAGTAATCTGGAATTTCGTTGTATCTTCCCCTTGAAAAACATTAAAAACTAATTTATGGGGGTTGGGGCTGAAAGTTTGAAAGAATGTGTTGTCATAGGCAACGAGTCTATGTACCAAGTTTCAGTTCGATAGGTTGACGGGAAGTGGGTCAGCCGTAGGAAGATTTTTGCCAGTCCGCCACCCAGCCAGCCACGACCAAAAGCAAAGTTAATATCAATAATTTAAAAAAGGTTCTATTTCTTTTAGCAAATTCTAACATAGTTGTGTCCTAACAAAGAGAGAGAGAGAGAGAGATAGATAGAGAGAGAGAGAGAGAGAGAGAGAGAGAGAAAAGAGAGGGAGAGAGAGAGAGAGAGTTACTTAGCCGCATACTCCCACTGAATAGTGTAAGGTGATCTCGTATGGGCCTTTTAGGCTTCTAAATGTGTTGATCCATGAAACGTTTAATTCGTTATATTTTTTTTTTCATTCTCTGGTCCACATGCGCCATTGGTCATGATGTACTCACCACCGCCATAAGTAGATCATTGAATAAATTAGGAGGGAGAGAACTTCCAGGGACTACGCCAATCACGGTCAGCTCCGGCAACTGTTCCCTTGAAAAAAAACGCACCAACGTCTGCTCGGTTTCCAGAATATTCCTACGACTGCGTTCCCTTGCCACGGCCTGGCCAATAATGGATGATAGAGCGCCCTGCTTCCCGTCGGTCAGGATCCACATATCCGTCAAGCTGGCTGCCTGTACGGACAGTGAGAAACATTTTTTTTTTTTAAAGAATAGGCTTTGTCATTTCTCAGACCGGAAAACGTCATAGCGTACTATCTTTAGAAGTCCGGCGGACAAATAGTGCTTATAACATGGCAGCTTATAGTGTGTTTCAACATATCGTTCGGACGATCGTTGCATATAGAGTTACTGTTACATGTGCCGTACGTGCAATGGAGTCTCATTTCAAAAAAAAAAAAAGAGGTAAAAAAAAAAATGTGTAAAATATTTCATAAAATAAAGTAGTAAAAAACTTTTAAATAGTGCTTATAACATGGCAGTTTATAGTGTTTTTCAACATATCGTTCGGACGATCGTTGCATATAGAGTTTCTGTTACATGTGCCGTAAGTGCAATGGAGTCTCATTTCAAAAAAAAAAAAAAGAGGTAAAAAAAAAAATGTGTAAAATATTTCGTAAAATAGAGTTGTAAACAAGTTTCAGGGATACTCCGCTAACATAGTAATACTGAACAGTGTTGGCATTTTGTCCGCGCTGAGTAATGATGACATCAGTTCTATTATTAGATTTCCGCCATTAAATGACAAGCCCTATTCATCAAGTTCGTTTCAGGGCTATTTTTTTTTTAATGACTTTATTTTTAATTTCACTGATCATCTCTGGAGGAAGCTTTTGGCCAGCCTGTTGAGCGTTGTTTTGTGGCGTCTTGCTTCTACTTTTTACTTTACTATGCACTCCTGATCTCCTTAAACTTTGTCAGAGCACCTGCAAACCACATTAACGATGGTTGAATTTGCCTTAACTGCTAAGGTTGCGGCTATTCGTACCCGGGTACCAGAAATGAGAGATTGGGATTAAAAATCTATTTAAAATTTGATTGAGTCTAATGGCACCCGGGTGCGAATGGCGGCGCTGCGTGCCTGGGTCCATTTTGACTCAGGGCTATTCGGATGTCATTTGTGGCAGTTTATTTTAGTTAAACCGAAGAATTAAGTTTACAAACATATAGATCTAGTCCATTCAATTATCTTTCATTTGATACCTCATTTTGTCTTACAAACCCAATAGATTAAATAGATTTTAATCCCAACCTCTCACTTCTGGTACCCGGGTACGAATAGCCACTTTGAACTGCTAATGCACATCGGTAGATTGAATGTTCGTGCCCATGCTTACCCACATGCATAAGCAGGCACGGCAAATAAACGTATTAAAGAAACACGATGCACATCAAGATGTTTACAAATTTAATGGTATTGAGGATGAGCAAATATATGTGGGCAATTCAAAGACAGGTTCTCACGTTGGCCTTCATCCGATTCGGACAGTCTGTAACCTTATTTTAGGCTCTTTTAGAAATCTATGATGTCGCTTTGCGACTTAGAGCAACAACCGTGAGGTCTGACCTGAATACATCACAGACTACATCCAAAATGATTATGTAATCAACTAGGTCTTACCTAAAACACCACCCACTATATCTGACCTGAATAATTATAACCACTAGGTCTGACCTGAATACTCCTAACCCCCAAAACTAACCTAAATACATATAACCACTAGGTTTGACCTGAATACTTCTAATCACTAGGTCTGACCTAAATACACCTAACCACTGGGTATGATCTGAATACTCCTAAACACTAGGTCTGACCTGAATACATCTAACCACTAGGTCTGACCTGAATACTCCTAACCCCTAAGACTGACCTAAATATACATACCCACTAGGTCTGACCTGAATACACCTAACCACTAGGTCTGACCTGAAAACACCTAACCATTAGGTCTGACCTGAATACACCTAACCACTAGGTCTGACCTGAATACTCCAAATCCCCAGGTTTTACCGTAATACACCTAACCACTAGGTCTGACCGGAATACACCAAATCCCTAGATCTGACCTAAATACACCTAACCCCTAAGACTGACCTGCATGAGCCCATCCATGAAATCCTCGACATCCTCTTCTCGCTTCCATGGCTTGAAATGGTGGGCACTTGATATAATGGACAAAACTAAATTTGGTCTTCTGAAGCCCCACACCCTGGTCATGTCGAGAGTCAGTTTTTCCACTTGTTCTGAACTGTCGTCTATTATAAGAAGATACCTGGAGATCTGTTGGTGAATGGTTGGGTATCTTGTGTATATTACAAATAGATACCTTGGATATATTTTGGTGAATTTTTGGGTATATGGTGTATAGTGTATATAACAAGTAGATAAGAAACCTGGAGATATTTTGGTGAATAATTGGGTGTGTAAATGGTTAATATTTCAATAATCTCATATTCGTAATAAAACTGGGAGCTCAGACTCCCACAGTCACGCATGGCTCGCAACGTCCCAAACTTTCTTTGAAGACTTTGCGGGCGGTGAAGCGCGGTACGCCTGCCGAGTCGCCAAGGCGGGCCAAGCCATTTTTTCCACAGCTTCCAGGAAAAATTTTGCAGTTGTCCGAAAATGCGAACCTCAATATTAAGAATAAAGCGACGCCCGCTGTAACCCCCCCCCCCCCAACCCCCTTTCTTCCTACCCGACCCCCTTTGCCAAGGCGGGCCAAGGCCTTTTTTCCACAGCTTCCAGGAAAAATTTTGCAGTTGTCCGAAAATGCGAACCTCAATATTAAGAATAAAGCGACGCCCGCTGTAACCCCCCCCCCCCAACGCACTTTCTTCCTACCCGACCCCATTTAGACAAAGGCTTCGTTTAGCCTCTCGGAACCGGTCCTGTGCGGGGGGAGTGGGGTGGTGGAATTAGTGGCTCCTAGAAGCTCTTAATGTCTAATCAGCAGGGACGAAACGTTATTTCACACTACACCACGACGCTCAACAAATTCAGCACCATAACATATCTATGGTATCTCTATACACACCATTTCATTGAACTCCTCAGCTTCCTCGGCGATAAATGTTATATTCCCGCCCAGAAACTGAGCGGCACTCTTTTTGGAACTATCTAAAGGGCCGCCTTTTCTTCCAGGGTGTGTCACTGAATCCGTTTCCGAATCATCGTCCCTAGAAGCACCACCATGTAATAAACAAGTGAGATGGGATGTGGTTACATGTCTGGTTTCATAATAGTCCCTAGGGAAAGCAATTTTCTCAACCTTTGTTAGTGTTTGACACCCGTATAATATCTTGCTGATCACGGGGCG